TAAAAAGATGTTATTGATGTTTTCGAATAATTTTTCAATTACTGAAATTCGTAAATAAATGTAATAGAATATTTTTTTGAGTATCTAATAATTTTTATAGAGTGAATCAGAATCTTCTTCAGAGTCAGGGAGAAAGTCAAAATTTTGTCTGGATATCAAGGAAAAGTCAGGGAAAAGAAAATAAAATTTTATTTCTAAAATAAGTATTTAAAAAAATAAATATTTTATTTTTAAAATAAAATTTTATTTTGTTAATATATTTTCATGACATTTTTATTTTATTGTATAAAATTATATAAAATCACAAGTGCTTTGAAATAGTGCCCTAGTAAAATTTAAAGTCGAATTTTTTTTCGCATTGTTTGCGACTGAAAATGTTAAATAAATGTTTTGCTGTTAATATATAGCGCATTATAGTTGAATGGAAGTATGATCGTAATAATGAACGTATATAAAATAAATTTAAAGACTGGCAAAAGTACATGGCTACTATAAACGTTTGTAGGTTACTTATAAAAACCGTGGAAACCAACCGCGGAACGCGAAGAAGTTACTAAATGGCTGCACAAGATTGCCGCCGGCTCCCATCGGAGTTTTAACTTTTTAATAATATAATAAAGTGAGGGAGTATCTTATGATACACCAACCTCATGGAGAATTACCTCAAGAGGATGAGAAAGAGTTCCCTTTTCTTTATACTCTACAAAACCGCAATACAGGCACCGCCGCGATTGATTATTATTATCATTATTATTATTATTATTATTTTTACTCGACTCGAACTCTTCACCCTCACAAGTCTAAGCAATTCTCTTAAAGCACGTTTCAAACTCATTAAGGCCAATTGATCTGGTAAACAACTTTGTCTTGCGCTTCTGTCCGCGTTTTCCTTCAGCAGTAATAATTTATCCCTTTGTCGTGCCATTGAGAAATTTATATTTTACTGATTTTTAAATCGAACGAAAATTCATTTTCTTTAGTCAAAAAAAATTTTTATTACTTATTTAGCATATAAAATATATTATTTATAAATATAATTGAATTCAGAGAAAAAAATTATTATTTATGTAAATTAATTGAATTATTGAGAAGAAATTTATAAAAAATTTGTTAATTATTCGAAAACATCAATAACTTCTTTTTTAAATAAATATTTAATTATTACTATTTTTCCACAGGAATTAAGATTTTTAAAAATGTCAAATTCAAACCATTTGAAATTAAACAACGTTTATAAAAGTATTATCATAATTTTATATTAAGAATATTGTTACTGAAACTTTTTAAAAATTATTTTTATCATTTCAATTCAACTATTATTTTCTATAATGTTTAACTTAAATTTTTTCTTTAAATCAAAATATTAACAATTTTTTTTAAAGTTCTTTGAGACTTTTTAAAATTATTTGTTCACAATTCAATTCTATGAAATTTCGATTATTCGGAAATTCTTCAATTAAATACACTGTAAGTTTTTGGAAATTTTACCAAAAGAAATTAGGAAGCAAATTCCATTAATTATTTAGAAAAATTTACTAACTAAATTTAATTTTTTTCTGAAATAATTGAATTTTTCTAAAAAGTTATAGAAAACTTTCTTTGAATTTAGAAACATTCCCATGAAATAGCAGAGAAAAAAATGCCAAAAGTTTTGAAAACTTCTCTTAAACATTTAGGAAAATTTCTTTATGAAAATACAGGAAAATTTCTGAGAATTTTGAAAAATTCACATATTTGGAAAAGTTTCCATGTAACTTCAAATTTTTTTAAAAAATTAAATTAAACTTTTTCAAAAAAAATTAATTCTTTAAAATTAACTGTTAAAAGTATAGAAAATTCTTATTTTCAAATATTTTAAATTGAATCCTTTTCAAAATTATTCAATTATTTAAATACAAAAGTAAATAATTTATTGAATACTTGAATGCTTCTTAAAATTGATTTCTCATAAGAAATTTTATTAATAAATTTTTAAATAATTGAATTCTTTCAAAGAATTTTAATCAAATTTTTTTAAATAATTCAATTTTTCGAGGAATTCGATTAAAATTATACTTAAAATAATTAAAATTCTGCGATAAACTTTATTATTTATGAAAATAATTGAATTTCTAAAACAAATTTACTATTCATAAAAATAATAATTGAATACATAAAAAAAATTTATTATTTATGAAATTAATTAAATTAATGAGAAGAAATTTACAAAAAATTTGTTAATAATTTAATTCCTGTGCAATTTTTATTATTTATGAAAATAATTTGTAAATGTTTCAATACAATTTTATTAAAGAATTGAATTTTTTTAGCAAATTTATTAAAATAGTAGGTAAATATTGAAAATCATTCAAATCAGGAAATTTTTTAAAATAATTAAATTTTGGAGAAGAATTTTCTTATTTATAAAAATAAATTGTGATTTTGACGAGAATTTTTTTTTTAATTGAACTTTTATAAAAAGAATTTTATTACTTTTGAAAATAATTAAATTTCTCCAATCATTTGTAACTTCTCCAAAACTCAATTCTTTAAAATATTTTTAACTAAAATTTTTCCATAAATCCATTATTTTTAATAATTAATTATTAATTAATAAATTAAATAAATTAATTGATAAATTAAACTAATAATTTCAAAAAGAATTTGAATTATTAATATTTTGCAAAAATCTCAGTTTTTTAAAATTTCTAAATAAATTCATTACAAATGGAAATTTTATAAAATTTTAAATTCTCAATTGAAATTCTGAGATAAGTTTTTTTATTTATGAAAATAATTGTAATTGAATTATTGCGAAGAAATTTATAAAAAATTTGTAAATAATTGAATTTTCGTGAAATTTTTATTATATATGAAAATAATTTAAAATTTTTGGTACAATTTTATTAAATTTTTTTAAAATAATTGAATCGTTTGGCTAATTTTATTAAAATAGTAGATATTGAAAATCATTGAAATAAGGAAAATTTTTAAAAATAATTGAATTTCGAAGAAGCATTTTATTATTTATAAAGATAATTGGGATTTGGACGAAATTTTTTTTTTTTAATTTCGAACATAATTGAATTTTGTGAATATTGTAGATGCTACTCTTTTAAAATTTAATTAATTTTGAATTATTAAAGTAAAATTATTCATTAAATAATTGTATGATAGTTTTTCAAGAATGAAGTTATTTAAAAAGAAATTACTGTCAGAAATAGAAAAATTTGAAGGTTTTGTATTAGAATTCGTGGTGATTTCATTTCGCAAAAAAGACACAAAAATTCAGAATTTTCTTATGAATGCTAAAAATTTAAATTTTTTCACTACTTTCTTAATAAAAATGTCTGACTTTTCCTTGAATCCCCTGTCTCAGAATATATGATTATTGTGGCATTATAATAATAATAATATGTTCCAATTAATATTTTTTTATTTATATGAAAAAAAATTTGAATTAAAAATTTTTAAATTCTTTCTTTTAAAATTGTTAATTTTATTTAAAAAAGTATGCAAGAAGTTAGCCGCGCGCTTTAGCGCTCGAATTGTTGCTAGTAATAGTTAATAAAAATTGTTTTTGACTTTAGATAATTAAAAATAAAACTTAATTTAAAGCATAGTGTAAATCTAAAAAAAAGTATCCGAATTCCAAATAGTAGCAAATCCTAAAAAAAGTAGTAAATAGTAGGTTTTAGTAGATGAATACGAAGCCTGCTTAAAAAAAGCAGAAGAAGTAAATTTGTGTTAGTTATTATTTTTATTTACTTTTATTATTTGATATAATGAATAAATCAATGAATAAAAAAAATAAGAAAATAATAGTGGAAAACTATAGTAAAATTTTTGGCCTAAATTCCGAAAAATAATAAATAAGAGAGGAGAGAGAGAGAGAAAGATTGTCAAGAATGTGAATTTATGCTAATAATAAATTATAATTCATCCCAACGGTGTTAAATTCGAGGAAACAAAAAGGGAAGGAACCGGTAGCAAATTCGATACCCTTGATTACATATTATGCTAAACATGAGAAAATGGCCTTTTAAACAGAACATCTATATTTATGTAGTCCGTAACATTCAAATTAATCGCAATTTTCATTCCAGCACGAGACATGCATAATCAATTGACGATCGTAGAACGTCTTTATAGTGAAATTCACTATCCCGCGAGGCAAAAAATCAACAGATTTTTTCTGATAATTTTTTTTCTCTCTCAAAATTCTAATTTTTTTTAAAAAAGAATGTGACTTATTTTTTGTATTGACTCTAAAACTTGTATACAGAATTTTGTTTATATTTCTTTTTTCGTTTAAAAAAGAAAAAAAAGAAGAAAGGAAATTAATGGTATCTATGTTTCGTCGCAGAATTGCATCGGCGATTACATTCCAATTATGATTTTTGCCTGCATAATAGCTTGGCAATAAGTTGTGCTCATCACCTGCATGTATATATGTATACATATATTCCCGAGAAGAGACTAAAAGAAAACCGCCACACGAGATTGCGTGCACGAGAAATTACAAAGTAAACGCCTTGCAAACAGAAATAAAGCGAAAAAGTTGAAAAGCGAACACTTTTGAAAAATAATATTAAAAAAGAATAAATTATTCTTGTATATACTTGTTCTTCAGTGTTCTTCTCTGAACGTTATACCAGCTTTCACCAAAATTGAAAATTACAATCTTGTTGAACCATTGATTTCTTCACTAAAAATATCACATCTCCGATAAAACCAATTACATGTTGATTTATGCTTGTCACCGACTAAAACTAAATTCAATTATAAAAAAATATCGGATGTTTTTTTTTAAATTAAATTTATTAGAATTGTTTCAGTTTCGACGAAAATAAATACATATTAAATCTTAATAATTTTTTATTTGTGTGATTTTTTATTGAGTGTTCTCAACAAAAACTTTTCTTTTTTATTTTCTTCGACTTGTCGTAAATTGTCAACTGTCTAATCGAGATGTTTTTTTTTCTGTTTCATGTGTTGTTCTCCATGGTGCTTGTCTCTAGGATCCATCTTCCGTGAGTATATAAACACATTATAGGAGAGAAACTGCAAACTCCAGAGCCAAACGAATACTTAACAAACGTGAAATTCACGAGCAATCGTGGGTGGACAGATTTACGCGCATTCTAAATATAATATTTTACATATGTTCGTATGTTCGTTTGTTACATGTTTTTACTTCCATTGGACGTCTCATCTTCATCTTCATTTTCAATATGTTACGTGACAACATTACACTGCAATTATTCAGGGCGTGAGTATTTTCTATTTTTTATTACAAAAAAAAACTTGATTTGTTTTTAGAGAATTTTGATTGATAATTGATAAATTAGTTTTCTTGATGAATTATTAGGGTAAGTGTACCAATTACTGCAAGTGTAGAAATTACTGGGACTTTATAAGAAATATTGTCTCCTATTTTTGAATTTTTGACTTTCCTGAAAGTTGATATTAACTTAACTGACACCTTTGGAATTTTTAGTTGCGAAATTCATACAGTTCGCAAATAAAAATTCCGAAGGTAGCAGTGAAGTGAATTGTCACTTAGCAATTAACCTGGAAATTTTAAGGAATTTTATTAACCTTGAAAAAAACCTGGAAAAGAACTTAATTCTTAAATAACTATCATATAAAATTATTACTCAAAAATTTTATTACAAATTTTAAAGAACTTAAATTTTTGAAAAATTTTAATAATTCAAATTCTTCTAAACTTTAATTATAAAAACAGTAAAAAAATTAAATTTTAGAGAAGTTACAAATGATTGGAGAAATTCAATTACTTTCAAAAGTAATAAAATTCTTCGCAGAAATCCAATTATGTTCAAAAATTTTAATTCTCTTTAGGTATAAATAATAAAATTTCAATTATTTCGAAAAATTTAAATAAAATTCTTTTAAAAATTCTATTATTTAAAAAAATTTCAACCAACTTTTTTACAAGATTTAGTTAATAAAATTGCAATTTTAATGAAAATTTCCTATACAATTTAATTATTTTCAATACAATTCTTCTTAAGAATTTAATTATTTTCAAAAATTTTAATAAAATTCTTCGCAAAATTTCAATTATTTTCAAAAAAATTTCCTCAAGTCAGTGGTTTTTAATATCTACTAATTTAATAAACTTTTACAAAACAATTCAATTAATAAAAAAAATTTAATAAAATGTTACGCAAAAATTAAATTATTTTCATAAATAATAAATATTTCATAAGCAATTAAATTATTAAAATTTTTTTATAAATTTCTTCACAATAATTCAATTATTATAAATAATCAAATTTTTTTTACAGAGATTTAATTATTTTTAATACAATTTTAATCGAATTCGTCGAAAAATGTAATTATTCTTAAAAATTTTATTGAAATTCGTCAAAAGAATGCAATTGTTTAAGAATTTTTTTAATAACATTCTTTATTAGAATTCAATTGTGAGAAAGATTCAATTATTAAATAAATAATTTATTTATATATTTAAATAATTGAATTCTCGTAGAATTTTCTAATAAAAATTAGTTTATAATTTAAATTATAAACCCCTTTTATACATTTACATTTTACATAAATAAATAAATAAATTTTTAGATAATAATAATTGAATATTAAAAGCATTATAGCGTGAATTTTTAAATACAATTTTGTAGAGGTTTCAAATTAAAATCTTTGAAAATTTGAATTTTTCATAATTTTCATTGTTAATTTTATAGAACTAATTTTTTTGAAGAATAATTTTAATTTTCCAATTCTGTTGAAATTCGTTAAATAGTTTAATATATATTTAACTAGTTATTAAAAATAATGGATTTATAAAAGAACTTTAGTTAAATACACAAAAATAATTGAATTTTGAAGAAGTTACAAATTATTGCAGAAAATCAATTATTTTCAAAAGTAATAAAATTCTACGCAAACGTTTAATTATTTTAAATAAACTGTCATAAATAATGAAAATTTCACGGAAATTCAATTCTTTACAAATTTTTTATAAATTTCTTTGCAATAATTCAAATATTTAAGAAAAATCAAATTTTTTATAGGATTTACATATTTTTTAAACAATTTTAATCGAATTTCTAGAAAAATTAAATTATTTTTAAAAATTGTATTAAAAATTTTTAATTCGTCAAAAGAATTTATTATTTAAACATTTTTTTAATAAAATTCTTTATTAAAATTTAATTTTTTGAGAAACATTCTATTATCAAATAAATTATTTATTTTTGTATTTAAATAATTGAACGTTCAAATGAACGAAACACTTTTTATTAGAAATATTTTTATAAATTACCGTTCGCAATAAAAATTAAAAACTTAAATTTTACACTTAGAAACTTTATAATTCAATTTTCTTCATATCAACAAAAAATTATTGTAATAAATATTTAAATTAAAGAAGAAATAAATAAATTTCGTTCATTTGAACGTTCAGAACTTTAGGATCATGAATTTTGAAAAAGTTTCATAATTTTAATTATTTATTTTATAGAACTAATTTTTTTGAAAAAATTTAATTGAATTTTTTTGAAACTATTTGAAGTTTTTATTTTCTAATATATATATTTGATTGAAGAATTTTCTAATAATCGAATATCGAAATTTCGTAAAATTGAATTGTAAAATTAGATTTTAAAATTCTCAAAGAATTTTTTAAAAAATTATTAAAAATTTAAAAATAATTGATTTAGAGAAGAATTTTAGTTGGAAAATAATTGAATTGAAATGATGTAAATTGTTTTGAAGAAGTTACAGTAATAATATTCTTATAATATAAAATAATGATTCTGTTATCTTTAATTATAATAAAACATGAAGAAATTGATCACTCCGAGTCGAAGACTCGGAGTGCTTCGATTTCTTCATGTTTTATAAAGGTTTGAATTTAAATATTTTGAAAATAATTTTAATTCCGTTGGAAAAATAATAATGATTATATATTTATTTAAAAAAGAAGATATTGATATTTTCGAATAATTTAATTTAGTAAAAAAAAAACCCCGGGAAAATCCCGTTTTTAACCTGGAAAAGTCAGGGAATTTCAAATGAGTAAAAGCGTGGCAACCCTGCATAGTGAGGTTGTTACTTTATTACTTCCCACTTTTTATTTACTTTTACCTCTTTACTTAAAAGAGACCACTGAAGAAAGATGCAAGTAACCTCTTTACTTAAGAGAAACCACTGAAGAAAGATGCAACGAGAGGTTAAGTTAAACAGGTTAAATTAAGTTAAGTGAAAGAAAGTGATATTCTTTTTATACAAAACTGAGGTATCAACTTCCGAAAAATCTTCCGCAATATTCAGTATGAAATTTTTTAAATTTAATACCCGAGGGGTCAGAGGGGGGGGGGGTGGAATATAACTGACATCTCTATATAACTGCATGGTGAATGGCGCCCCCAACCCTACGGGGGTCCCAGACGTCGTCGGAGACATCAGCGCCACGGGCGTCCATTGTCTCAAGGGGAGTTTCGTTTTGGTCCAGTCAAAACGAAAGCTGGACCATCCCATTGCTGACACACTCGCGGGGGTCCAGTACCCCGTCGCGGATCTCAAAATTAATAATAAACGAAATTCGAATTCTACCTGGCACACAACACGTAATATCAAACACCGCAAACTCATTTATGCGAAATTTCATCTTTACTTCCTCGAATAAATTTTCATAACACTTCTTTTTGAATTTATAACTTTCGAATGTATATTATATATCGGAAATTAAAATTAGGTTATTTTGACATTAACGATTTATAAATTGGATACAATTTATGTACACATGAAGAAGTTGGCGTCGACGGTGATCGGTGAAAATTATTATTTGGAGTTATTCTAGGAATTAAAATGTGACTAATTTTTTTCCTCATTAAATTAATTTTAATTAATCTAGAGGACCTTTGACGAATCTAGGTAAATTATCTTAGATTAAAATAATTATTAAGTAATGAATAAATTAATTATTTAATTTGAATTTCCCGCCAGGAATCATGGTACAATTTAAATGTATTTCACTTTCTTCTAAAATTATTAAATTAAAATATTTGGAGTATAAGTTTGGAGTATATTTAAAATTACTAGAAATTATGTGTAAACAATTAGGATTGAACCAATTTTAATTAAATATTTGATTTAATATTAAATTTAACTAAATTTTTGAGGCGTCTATTACCGACAGAGTAAGCAGTCAGCGCCATCGGTGGCACGTAACCTACTTAAATTTGAGACCACGTGGTAGTAACACCTCGTTATGTCAGCCATTTTGATTTTCTATATTTCTATCTCTTTTCGGAATATATTTTAAAAAAGTAAAACAATTAAAAATTGGACCACGTGGTAATGACCTCGTTGTGTCAGCCATATTGATTTTTCTATTTTTCTATCTTTTTCCCGAGCATTTTTCAGAAAAGAGACACTAATAAAAATGGCCACCACAATGAGGTCGACACGAAATGGCGTATCACAGTTCTACTGTTCTCATATTACTTTTAACTCCAATTTCAATTAATTTCTCTAAATTATTTCATTCTTATTTTTGAAAGTGATCAAAATTTGCAATTTTTTAAAATAAAAGTAAAGCAATAAAATCTGTGTTATAAAGTTTATAATTGAATTTAAAGAAGAAAGAGTGCTTGTGAAAATTTTAATTCGAACCACGTGGCAGGATGAAGTGATCGAAAAATTAGACGACAATAGAAAAATTATTCGAAACGGAGGAAATAGCAATAAGGATGGTTAATAATTAACAAAAGAGGACGGAAAACCTTTTGAATTCGCCAATCAAGGTAAAATTTATAAACATAACCTGTAATTTTTTTTCTTAAATCCCTTTCTTCAGAGGGCGTCACACTGAGAAAATATATTTAATTCTAATAGAAAAAAATAATTTTAGACTATTTCGTTTAATTAAAGTCAATTTATAAGTTTAATTACAATATATAGAAAATATCTATACTATTTTGATTTTTTTAAACGAATAATTATATTTTATTCGAAAATATCTTCTGTTTTGGTTTAAACTAAAAAATATGTTTAAAAATTTTATTTTTAATTGAAATTTAAATATGTTGATTAGTGGTGAATCATAAACTATTTTAGCCCCATTTTTTGGAAATGTTGCCCCTCCCCCTACTGTAATTTGTAATATTTTTACAATTTTCTGGAACTAAGTGAAAATAATTCCTGTTCTTCATATTTTATGGACTTTTCCTTACGTATAATTTAAAATTAACTATAATTTATTTTAAAAAATATATGTTTTAA